TCTTCTTCTTCTTCTTCTTCTTCTTCTTCTTCTTCTTCTTCTTCTTCTTCTTCTTCTTCTTCTTCTTCTTCGTAGCCAGGGAGGGGGGCTGCCATCCCCTTTGGCGCCTGCATGACTGGCAGTGTAGGAGCCTGGTTTGGATCCCAGTGGTGGCAGCAAAGGCCTGAGAGAGGATCCTTTTCTTGGGGTATCAAAGTATAGGGTTGCCAAGTCCCACCTTCGTAATAGCGGGGGGAGTCCTGGACGTCCCTGGGAATCTCCTGGTGTGCACGCTTTGTGTGCACGCCGCGATCACGTCACCCGGAAGTGACGCAATCGCGTCAGGCACATTGGGGCGGGGCGACAATCATTCAAGGGTGATAGAGCCTCCCCCCCCCCCGCAACGTGCCCAACGCGATTGCATCACCTCCGCGTGGCGGGTTTTACGCCAGGCGCGTCACGTGCTTTGGGGAACGGGCCTCTTGGGTGGGGGTTTCCCCACCCCCCAGGGGGACTTGGCAGCCCTTTCAAAATACCTGGAAGCAGCCCTGGGCTGGAGCCATGAGGGAAATAGGTCCTTGGTTTTCCAAAGATGGCGTCTCTCTCTCTCTCTCTCCTTTTCAACAGAACTATTCCAAGTCCCAGGGTTGGGCATGAACTTGCCCATCATGTGGTTCTACCTCATCATGAACGTCATCACTCAGTATCCTTTTTTATCGGCAGCTTGGGGAGAGGGGGGCTCACCCTGAGGTAAATTTTCAACTGTTTTTCTTGGGGCTTCTCTGGCCAGTTGGGTAGACTTACTTCCCCAAATGGGCTCGCGGCCTGTTATTTCTTATCAGTAGACCGAGCCTCGGTGCAGGCACCAATCCGTGCCTCTGCGTGGCGGAGAATCAGCTGGTCTGCCCACCGACGCGCAGCAGGTACAGTTCTCCCCTCTTAAAGGATGATGGGGAAGACTGATCGTATGTTCTGGGTGTGGTTGGGGAATATGTGCTGTTGCAATACATCGGGTGTGGGTAGAGCTGTAAAATTTCCGGAAATTTTGAAGCTCGGGAAAAAAAACAGGTTTTTCCTGTTTTTTCCCGGGGGAAACGGAAATTTTCGGAAAAATTGAACAAAATGCTACATTAGCACTTCTTTTTTCTTTTTCAGATTGAAAGTCATTCTGTTACTTTAGGAACATAAAATATGACTATGGACATTTTTACTTGGCATGATATTATCACAACTAGCATATTAAAAATATAGTGTATCCAAACAATTATTGAAAACAGAATATCCACTCACATGAGAGAAAAAAACCCTGAAACCTTTTTCTTTTCTTGTGACAACAGCACCCCCTAAAGGAAGAAATGCATCTTGTTCTTGCATTGGAGAGTTTAGTTGGTCACCTAGGACTTGCTTGTCCTCAGTGCACAGAAATTAGATCAATCTGATACCATACATATTTTCAGGGTTCTTTTTGTAGAAAAAGCCCAGCAGGAACTCATTAGCATAATAGGCCACAGCCAACAGCAGGAACTCATTAGCATATTGGGCCACACCCCTGACAGCACAGGTCATTAGCACATTAGGCCACACCCACATGTTACCAGAAGTGTGGTTATCCAGCCACACCCACCTTTTGCTTCTTATTCTGTTTACCTTGTTTGTTGTCAAAACCCAAGGCTTTTTTTGTAGCAGGAACTCCTTTGCATGTTAGGCCACACACCGCTAATGTAGCCAATCCTAATGAGTTTCTGCTGTTGGGCGTGGCCTATTATGCTAATGAGTTCTTGCTGGGCGTGGCCAACTTGGGAGCCAGCCGGAACTCCGTTCCTGTGCGTTCCTGCCCAAAAATAGCCCTGCATATTTTTTAGAAATGATTTGGAAAATATTTGAACACCTTGTCTCAAAATATTTTATTCATCATGTTAAAATAAAATGTTCCATAATCTTTTTTCCCCCTTTTCTCTTCTTTTTTTCAATTTTTCCAATTTTTTGGAAAAAAACAAAAAAGGCTTCAGGAAAAGGGGGGGGGACAGTTTCCCCCCTGATTTTTCCAGTTTTTTTTCCGGGCCTTCACATCTCTAGGCATGGGTAAAGGAGGAAGCGTCCCCACCAATGCTCCCTCTAAGCTATGGAGTCTTGTGAACAAAAATTGTACTTTGTGAGCCACTAGCATTAAAGCTGTGAGCGAGCGATTTGCCTGTTGCAGAAATAAGTTTGCTCTGAATCCCTCCTTCCTGAGAGAAGACAAAAATCTGTGAGCTGGAGGCTAAAAAACTATGAGCTAACTCACACTAACTCAGCTTAGAGGGAACACTGACTCCCCACGTGTTTGTCTTGGAAAGGGGCGTTTAGATATCAGAATGTGGGGTCTAGTTCCCCTCTGCCGCTCAGGGCTTATGAGGCACAAACATCTGTTTCTGATATGCTCCCTCCCTAAATAATCCACAGCATGAGGGAAAGCAGGAACACGTTTGTATTTTGTACTGAAACATAAAATAATATCAGGTTTGTGAAAAGGTGTAAGCCAGGGGTTCCCCGCCTTTTTGAGACTTGTGAACACCTTTGGAATCCTGACACACTGTAGTGGGCACAGCCACAAAATGGCTGCCGCATATGGCAGAGCCAGCCACAAAATGGCTGCCACAGCTTAATTTCAGTTATACCATGAAGATCGTTGTGTTATGTTGGCAGTGCCAGCCAAAGAAACATATTTTAAAAATCTGCACAGATGGTCAAATCTCCGATGGCCAATAGCCCCACCTGGCCCTAGCCACTTTCTAAAAACACTTGCTGGGCACCAGGAAAAGTGTTGGTGTCACCCACTAGCACTACGTTGGGGATTCCTGGTATAAGCCCTTCCTCGCAGTCAACACACCCTTGGTGTCCCGTCAAGGAAGATTCCCCTTCCTCTTTTTCCAAAATGGCATTTCTTTTTTCTGGCTCCTCACCTCTTCCCTGTCCTATTTTGGCGTCCCCTTAACTCTGCCCCTCTCAGATACGTTTGCATACGGGGTGTCTTCATCTTGACCACCGAGTGCACCTCCCTCACCGTCACGCTGGTGGTGACGCTCCGGAAGTTCGTCAGCCTCATCTTCTCCATCCTGTACTTCAGGAACCCCTTCACCACCTGGCACTGGATCGGCACCCTCTTTGTCTTCGTGGGGACCCTGATGTACACCGAGGTTTGGAACACTCTGGGGCCTCGGAAGGATCCGGAGAAGAAGCATGACAACAAGAAGTGGGAGTGACTCTGGACTCCGCTGGAAAGCTCATGACCGCTGCACTGAACAAGAGACTTCTTCTTTTTTTTCTACTGAGGATTTTCTATAGCACAGAACAGAAGATTCCCTTCTCGTGGAAGTCGGGGGTTGGTTTTTGTAATACAAAAAAAAATAACTGATCTTGGCTATGCCAAGCAGCTGGGTGAATCCCCTGCATTGGGGAAAATGCTTTTCAACTCCGAGGGATTTTGACAAGGGGAAACTTTGTCATGGTTCCGACCAAGATAGGCCTGATTCTGATCTCACATTTGTTCTGTTAGCGCCCGATAGCCGCTTGCTGCGGGGACAGCTTTGTGTCTCGTTTGTGCTGTGTGGTCCGTACAGTGAAAGTTCTGGGTGATCTGTAGCATTCAAGTTTTTCATTGTTAAGTACATTTGACCATTGGCCTTGTGGCACGAGAACCCTGTGTTCACCGTGCTCTTGGTAGGGGTTGGAGTCTCTTGAGGCAGGTTGCATCTTTGTGAGGTGAGGATGCGTTCAAAGAAACAGCTCGCTATGTAAAACTCGTGTGCGGTTTACAGCGTGGCAAAGTAGCCACTTACGTAAAACCCTATCCAATTCCTTCCCTTTTTTCTTATTCTCATTCCGTTTTTCCTGACTCTACTCTGCTTTTGAGATTGGGCAAAGGGAGCACAGGTAGCCTGTCATGTAAGGGTGGGAGTTCGGGTGACTTTTTTGCCCGGAAGATAGCTTTATGCTGATCAGGCAGTTTATAATTTTAAAACGTGGTTGCTATGGTGGCAGACATGCATGTCCGAAAATGACTTCCGTCTTGTTGATGGTGGCGTATATCTCCTACAACCTTGTCCCCAGCAGCTCCTGGGGCGGTATTATCTTTTAAATACGGTAATCTTTTTTGGACATTACTCGTTTAGGAATGTCCTGGCACTTTCTTCCTGACCCTCCTGCAATTAAAAAAAAGGGGAGTGGGTAATATGTGTGTGTAGGTCTTTCTCCTTACTGTATCTCTTGATTTCTGCAATGGTTTAGCAGTTCTCACAAACCTCCGAGGTGGAATCAGGGAGAGATATTGGCAAGTAACAGGGCTGCCCTGCCAAACAGAAATGATGGGGCTGCCCTGCATCTGCTCCCCACCCCCAATGTAGTGGTGCTCCCCACGAGATGATATAATGCTGTGAGTCCCCCCAGTCCTCTCACTGTGTCATTGGCTGGTGGTGGCAGCAGAGTATTTGCCATGGGGTGTTACATAGAGAGTTTTTCACTAGGCATCGTAGCCACAGGAGAAGTTGACAACATGGGAATCCCATTTTCAGTGCAGCCCTGTGTCCGCTGTGGTGTCTGGAGCCCTAATGGGTTATAGCATGCACAACACGAGGATCCCATTTTCAGTGGAAGCCATGTGTCTGCTATGGTATCTGGAGCCCTAATGGGTTATGGCATGCACAACACGGGGATCCCATTTTCAGTGGAAGCCATGTGTCTGCTATGGTATCTGGAGCCCTAATGGGTTATGGCATGCACAACACGAGGATCCCATTTTCAGTGGAAGCCATGTGTGCTATAGTGTCTGTAGTCCTAATTGGTTATCTTGGGCACAACACAGGGATCCCATTTTCAGTGGAAGCCATGTGTCTGCTATGGTATCTGGAGCCCTAATGGGTTATGGCATGCACAACACGGGGATCCCATTTTCAGTGGAAGCCATGTGTGCTATAGTGTCTGTAGTCCTAATTGGTTATCCTGGGCACAACACAGGGATCCCATTTTCAGTGGCAGCCCTGTGTCCGCTATGGTGTCTGGAGCCCTAATGGGTTATAGCATGCACAACACGAGGATCCCATTTTCAGTGGAAGCCATGTGTGCTATAGTGTCTGTAGTCCTAATTGGTTATCTTGGGCACAACACAGGGATCCCATTTTCAGTGGCAGCCCTGTGTCCGCTATGGTGTCTGGAGCCCTAATGGGTTAATTTCCTGCACTGTCTGCTGAATATGGTGTCGGCAAGCCAACTTTCCACTGGTTTGTCCAAAAAGAAAAGATCTGCTTCGTGCCTTCTGCTGAGGAACGGGAAGCACAGGGCATTTGTGTTTCTCTCTGCCTTTGCATCGGCATAAAGTCTGCAGCTGCTCTCTGCCTATCTGTATTTCCATCCTGTCTCCCAACCCCAGTGCTGCGTAAAACCTTTGCGGGTAGGAAAAACGTAGAGTACGCAGGGGTCCCAACCAACCGACGATTACCCTGAATGTCGTGCGACAGCAATATCGGAGTCGTCCCACTGATTTCAGTAGTGGCTTCCTTTTTTGAGAGAGAGCTGTTAGTTTTGTGAATTTTATCCTTTTAGAGTTTCCTGGAGAGAGCCCTTCCCAGCGTTCTTTTCATAAAATGGCATCAGCTGTCTTTCTCGCAAGTAACTTCGAAGTGTATTTGGACAGGGCAGTTACCTCCGAGTGACATTTTATTTTTATTTTTTTGTTTCTGCTGAATACATGAGTGTCAGTGGGGGAAAATGTATCTCAGAGGTGGGGATGCAGAATCATGCCTTCGTGTCCTCGCTAGCAAGTTCAGAGGAGCTGGACCCTGTTCACAGGCAGAGAGGAACCAAATTAAGGATCTGCGCAAGCGCTAAGAGATGTCGGAAAAGGAATGATTTCTCCCTTGAAAGTTTGGCTTCAACTTGGTTTTCGTGGTTGCTGCTTTCAGAGGAAGAATTGTGGGTCTTCTCTAAAGAGGCTTGCCAGCTGAGGCAATATTCTCCCCAACACTACAATTCCCAGGGTTCCTTAAGGGAAGTCAGGATAATTTGAAAACTACTCTCAAAATTAATTTAAAACGGAGAGTGGGCATACCCAGAAGGGCTTAGAAAAGAAGTGAGGGCCTAGACTATGTTGAACTAATGTAGTGTTCGATCAGCTGCTACTCTTCAGGTGCTATAGAAGTCTTGGAAATCCAGCAGGCTGAGACCCACTCCAGAAAGGGTACAGGATAAGCTAAACTGTTCACAGGCATCTGTGTGGTTAGTTCCTTAACCCAAAGATGCTAACATGGGCAGATAATAGTAGTATTATAGCAGATAATAGCGGTATCTAGTTCGGCAAAGGTAGCCAGGTTATCTGCTGGTTACCGCGCTTTGGAAAACAGCTGCACAACTTCTCCCGCTGCTATTTAATGGTGCAGGATCCCTGCTGAGACTGGCTTTTGACATCTCCAGCAATGAGTCATCCCATGTACATATACAGTATTTATATATTGCTGTCTAGCTCCTCGTGCAAATACGTTAATTCTGCATTTGTTTCTCGTAGGTATATATCAAGGGGTTTTGTTGTAAACATAATGCCGTTTTTGTCTTCTTCTTTTTTGAAAAACATGGTATCGTTTCCACCATGTTCATGCATATTTATGCATCACTGTGTTTACGAGCCAGCCTGAGTGCTCCCTTTAGCGCTAGACATGAGCCAGGAGAGCTGGGATTCGCTTTTTGTGCCCATATTTATTATCGTAGCCGAATGTTTGGTCCTGTGCTACATTTGGCCGAATGTAGTGGGAAGTGTATTCATGTCAAGGTAACGTTGGGAAATTGCCTGACAAACTTGTGTACTTCTTGAATGCAGGAGATTGGTTGGGAATTCACCTATGAGCACTGCTTCTGTTCAAAAAGTGCATTTCCACATAGGTGAGTTGCTGGACTAGCATTCTGTGCTTGCAGAAGCATTGTGTATGGATTTTCCACACACACTCAGTCTTCTGCTGTACTGCCTGGCTGGTCCTACTGCACATGTGCAGTGTTGGATAGGGACAGCACACTCCTGTTTGGGGTGTCAGCGGGTGCATAGAATAGTTTACACATACCTTTGGGCAGCCACACAGTTTGTGTAACATTGCTCTAAAGTGAAGTGATCTTCAGGTTCATTTGGGTAGGAAAGAAAGCTTGAGAAAGAGTTTCTGCTACCTGGCAAGGAAAACCAGCATCTCTATATAATTTTTTAAACTGTTTTTAACTGTTGAGTGTGGGGGGAGTCCCTTCCCTTAAAAAAAACACACTAGAAATTGTGCTCAGTTTCTGTTGGCAATCTTAACCCCTCGCAAAGTTCTCCATTCCGAAGGGTCCTGGAGTTTCATGGATTCTCATGGGAGCGTCCAAGATTTGAGGGGGAAAGTAACTTCATGGCACACTTGAAAAAAGTGACTTGAACAAACTTGTGTAAGGGTGGGGGGGTGGCACATGGGAGAGCCAGAAATAATGTCAGCTCCCTGCTTCCTGGAAACGGGAAGGATGTATACAGATAAATAAAGAACTTAAGAATGGTGCTTTGGTTTCCTCTGTGTTCATCGCCCTCTTTTTGTTTTCTTTCTGAATGTCCTTCGCAAGAAGATTTCACCTGGAGTTGCTTGAAATGGGCATGAAAACCAGCTGACCCCTACCATTCTCTCAGCCTGCGCTGCCACCAGTTGGAACTAAAGAGACACCCGCTTAATGAAGTGGAGTGGATTTGGGCCACCTTCTGGTGGATTTGGACCACCTTTCTTTCCTGTCCCTGAGTATCCTATGCATCCGCCAGATAGATTTAGTTTAGCACTGTCACCGAAAATTTTAACTGGTGACGAATACGAATGTATATAGAATGGAACAACTCACACTTGTAGGTGAACTGAACTTTGCTACCAGGTTTGATAACCTCATTTCTAGGGGCATTGAATGGATGCATTGGCCCTGTTCCTTCTCTCAGAAGAAACCTGTTTGAAACAAAAAGGTAGTGGATTAAATCCAGAATGGAACTTTTCCTGCCTCCTTCCCACCGCAGCCCACAGAGCTTCACAAATGGCTGCTCCGGGGATAGGGGACCCTGAGGAATGACCAAAGGGGTGGGAAGGGGGAATATGCATAAATCGTCAGTTTAGTCTGGATCCAACCCAGTAGTTGGACCATTTCATATGGCAAGACCTTTTGGTAAATGGTGACAAGTTGTACTCTAATCTGGGAGAACTGGGTTTGATTCCCCACTCCTCCACATGCAGCTGCTGGTGTGACCTTCAG